GCAGCCACGGATGCTGACGGCAGCGGCCTTGGCGGCGTCTGACCCACGTGCAACACGGATCCCCAATAAGCCTGACTTGCCGTGCCTGACGACTCCTAGGGCTTTGAAGTCCACCGACTTCTGAAACGCCTCTGCCATCGTGATGGGCTGGTCCTCGGGGAACCACACGGTCTGGTACTTGTCTGCCGTGGGCTCGTCCGCACCTACGTTGCTGAGGTCGTAGGTGGCGCCGAGTTGCCCCGAACCCGCCAAGACCTTGTCAACTGCTTGAAGACTGACGCCGAAAGTGGCAGCCAGGGACCTTTTTCCGACGCCAGATCCGTACCTGCCTAGACTTTTGCAGGGTTCGAGGATAGTGACGGCTTTAAAGTTGCCGTGGAAAAGGGCCTTGAAGGTGTCCTGCAGCTGACTGTCGAGCTCCTGGCGGCGAGCGTCTTTCTTAGACTCCCTGTGCTTTTGGTTTTGGCGCGCCTTGTCCTGTGGAGCGGAATCCCCTCGGAAAGGACCCTTGGCGCGTGGACCACCGTTCACGGGGGCGCCTCCCGAAAACTGATCCTCGAAGGCCTGATGCATGGAGGGGACTGCGGCGATGGCTTCGGTTTCATGTATGGTCACCCGAATCCAGCATACGTGGTCGGCAGGATCAATGGTGGCGACGGCTACTTTTTCCGTGCAGGCGACTTCCTTGGTGCCCAGCTGGTACACGGTCACGGGGACGTGCGTGTGAACCACATTGGGCGCCTTGGGGTGGCGCTTCAGCACGGGGACGGCGAGCTCGGTGCCGACGTAGTTGTCGTTTTTTGGGCCCATGACAGCGATCGCGAGCTGACCCGTGGTACGCTTACCCTGCTCGAGATGGTGCTGCAGCAGCCGCTCGCCACTCTCGTAGTCGTGGAGGCTGATGCTGGGCTTGTACGTCTTGCCGTCGTCGAGTGATGTGGGTTCGGCCAGGACTGGGACCTTCCAGAAGGCCGGGTCCAAGGCAATAAATTTGGCGTCCGCAGCCTGAAGACGCGCGGACGCAGCTGGTGGATAGGATGTGTCACCACCATTGCGCTTAGGCTTGCTGCGCTGGTGGTGATCCAGCGTGTAGCTGATCTGGTTGGCGGCACACATGCGAATCAAGGCACTGCCGAGCTTCTTGGTGTTGGTCTTGTGCATGTCGTACGTGGCCTGCAGCTCGTCCGCGTTCAGCTCGGCGAGCCCGTTGTATGCGGCTGTGGGGCGGTCAGACCCCGCTTGCTTGAAGGCTGCAATGCAGTCCTGTTTGCGTTGGAGGAGGGATCCTTCAGCTGCAGGACGTGAGCTCGGCGGCTGCTTGGAAGAGCGACGGCGCTCCGGCTTGGCGGGGGCCATTGCGGCGGGCGCTCTGGTGGGAGGGAAGAGGTGACGCGAATCAGTAGGGTCCTGCTGGGACCCCTCCGGTCTCGCGAGGCCTGGGAGACTGGCTCCGAGGCGGGGCGCTTCGCGTCGCGGCTGCGGTCTGAGTGCAGGGCGCTCTCGAGCCGAGACTAGAGAGAGAGAGAGAGAGAGATAGATAGAGAGAGAGAGAGAGAGAGAGAGAGAGAGAGAGAGAGAGAGAGAGAGAGAGAGAGAGAGAGAGAGAGAGCGAGAGAGAGAGAGAGAGAGGCGCGGAGGAGGAGGAGGAGGAGGAGGTGGAGGAGGGCGAGGAGGGGGAGGAGGAGGAGGAGGAAATGGACCTGAGCGGCCCTCATGGCCGCTGCGCGACCTCGGAAGCCTTGCCCCGTGCAATGATAGACGCGCGGGGCATTCGTAAGAGGTAGGGGCGGAAGTGCAAGGAGTAAGAGAGAATCTGGAGGGCGAGGACAGGGAAAGCGCGGAATCCTTGTGTCATGGGGTCTGAACAGGATGGGAACAACTGGGAAGACTGCACATCAAATTTTGGTTCCCGGGGCCGCGCGCCGACTGTTAAGTTGGAAGAGAGAGAGCGAGAGAGAGAGAGAGCGCGCAGAGGAGGAGGTGGAAGAGGAGGAGGAGGAGGACGAGGAGGAGGAGGACGAGGAGGACGAGGAGGAATGAGGAGGAGGAGGAGGAGGAGGAGGAGGAGGACCAGAGCGGCCCTCATGGCCGCTGCGCGACCTCGGAAGCCCTGCCACGTGCAATGATACACGCGCGGGGTTGTCGTAAGAGGTAGGGGCGGAAGAGCAAGGAGTAAGAGAATCTGGAGGACGAGGACAGGGAAAGCGCGGAATCCTCGTGGCATGGGGTCTGAATAGGATGGGAACAACTGGGAAGACTGCACATCAAATTTTGGTTCCCGGGGCCGCGCGCCGACTGTTAAGTTGAGACGGTGCAGAAAACTGGGAGTCTGAATTGGTGCCCTAGGGCCGCTGCCTTACTAAAACGGAACCACAGGAACCTGAACATCAGATTTTGGTTCCCGGGGCCGCTCCCCTACCCATGGCCAGCGCGGGCGGGCGAGAAGACAGAGGAGTACCATTTTTCCGAGCCGGTAGCTTACAGGTTTGCGATGTAGTCCAAGATCTCCTGATATTCCGCCTCCTTCACCGGGTCGCGGTATCGATGGACTATGGCATCCAGTGTGCAATCTTCGGCCGCCATCATCTGGCGCCTCCTCTTTTTGTTGTACTTTCTGAGGGCGCAGGAGGCGTGTTCGCAGAAGAGCCACATGTCAAGCACCGTGCAGCGCATGTTCAGAATTGCGCACTGTTTTTTGAAGGTGCTGTTCGCTTTGGCGGCCTGTTCGAACGCAGTGATGGATCCCATGTCTCCCCGCGCCAAGCGCCCGGCGCCAGCCATATCCGCCGACCCCCGCTTGCCGGGGGTGAAAAGGCGCGTGAGACATTTGGCTGTTCCCCTTCCCCTTTCCTCTTCCCCTGGGGTCCGAATTGCAGTTTGAGGGAGGGGGGGGGGCGGGGAAGGGGGGGGGGGGGGCGGGGGGGTCCCCGGGCTCCCCGACGCCACCGCTCCTATGCGATTGCCACCAAAAACGTACCATGTGGCTCCACAAAAAGTCTACGCTACTATACGATTGCCACCAACAACGTACCACTTCGTTCCACAAATCTTCGCAACTCCTATGGGATAGAGGTGAAGATATATGATATAGGTTCCACGCTTTTATACGATGGTTACCAAAAACGTCCAATTTGGCTCCCCCTCTTTTGGGGGGTCGGCGGAATGGCGTAAGCCACTTGAATAAAAGGCCTTCCGCACAACCCATGCCCGTTTCCTTTGGGTCTTGCAAGCCGACATGATGAGGTCCATCATGATCTGCATGGCGCAGAACTGCGGGGGCCCCTCCCGTTCCTGCACGCCGGCCAAGCGCTGCAGCGAGGACGCAGTGTACGACAGCGCCGACCGACCGCGCGCAGCCGGCGGGGTCTCCAACACCTGGAGCAAGCGGCTCTTGACGATGCCGCGGCGGCTGTGGTAGTCGACGCCGACCTCGTCACGGTCGTCGTCGTTGTCGTCGCCGTCGTCGCTCTCTTCCGGACGAACGCCCGCGGCGTCGCCTGCTGGAAGACCGCGGCCCCAAGGCTTGTAAGCCCGTGGCCGGTCGGCGCCGTGCGCCGCCAGTCCAGCGCCCAGGGCGCCCGAGAAAGCCTGCGTTTCAGTGGGCCACCCCAAGCCGTCGAGGTGGGCGTAGAACGCTCTCACCGGCGCAGGGTCTATGAGCAGGACGCATCGGGCCACGTGGCACACCAGGCTGTGCCGCTCGCTCTGGTCGCAGTGTCGGGCCCCTAAGAAGTGGCACCTGGACGCGGCGTCGAATATGCGAAAGTGATGCTCGACCCTGTTATCGGGGTGGGCGCAGTACCTCGCGAACTCTGACGGGGCGCCTGCAGCGGCCATGCTCTTGCGGAGGGCGTTCACGCCAGCGTCCCGATGCTTGCCTCCTGCCTGGATCATGGTGAGGTAAGCCCGATCCCTGACCAATTGCAGCATCTGCGGCATGGGCATCGCGTCGGTCCTGGCCTCCGGCGCGCGGCGCGGCGGCCGGCGGGAGGGGGCAGCTTTCGCCATGCCCTTCAGAGTCTGCTTTCGCACCTTGCGCAGCGACCGCAACGCGGTCATGCTGAGCTTCACCTGGTGGCGGCCCTGCAGCTGGGCGGCAGCCCGGCGGTGTCCGTGGGCGATTGTACGCTTCCGCAGTTTTGCGGCAAACGTGGCACCATCAGGAGCGACCGGCCTGGTGGCTTCAGGCGGCTTGCGGGGCGCGTCGGCGGCCGCGGCGCCAGCGGGGGCCAGCGCCTGGGCGGCCGCGGGCCTGGCAACTGCCGCTTGGGCAGGGCCGACGGGCGTCTGGGCCGCTGGAGGGGCAGCAGCGGCCGGCGCCGTCGCGGGCTTGTTCGCCGCGGCGGACGGCACGAGGAAGCGTTGCATGGTGACGGGAACAGCGCGTTGCAGTGAAGCCGAAATGGCTACGGTGGTGTGGATGAGGGTGGCCGCAAGGCAGAAGTCTGAACATCAGATTTTGGTTCCCTGGGCCGCTGCCCACCCAGAGGGGCTCTGCCCGCCCAGGAAGAGGAGGAGGAGGAGGAGCAGGAGGAGGAGGAGGAGCTGGAAGGGAGGAGAACGGGGAGGAGGAGGAGGAGGAGGAGGACGAGGAGGAGGAGGCGAGGAGGAGGAGGAGGAGAAGAAAATGGCGCGAGGGAGGACGTCGAGGACGAGGAAAGGGAGGATGAGAAGGACCGGGGAGGACGACGCGGAGAAGGTGGAGGAGGGAGGGGGTAGTCGAATAGGAACGACGTGCAGGCGTCGAAAGAGGACGAGCAGGCGGATAATGAGGAAGAGGACGAGGAGGATGGGGACGAGGAGGAATGGGAGGGAAGAGGAGCCCCAAAGTCCCCAGGAAAAAGGACAATACGGAAAGCCTAAGTCGCACATAGTCTGACATGACCTCAGTTGGCGGACCTCCCCACTCAGCGGCGCAAGTGCGTCGGCGCAGCAACGGAGGTGCGCTGCGGCATGGGGGCGAACCGAAGAGATGTCGCGGCGGCAATGCTGGCGGGCGCTCACTTGCGCTTGGGCTTCAGCGCCGTCTTCGCGACTGCTTTGCTCTTCGCCTTTGCCTTCGCCTTTGCTTTCGCCTTGCCCTTGGCCGAGGGCATGGGCTTGGCCCGATTTGCGGAAGCCGAGGTCGTGATGTGCATGTTCGGGAAGGCGGAGGTTGGACAGACATCCGTGATGGTGAAGAGCTTCTGGTACTTGTTTGCGAAGCTCTTCAGGGTGGAGCGAATCGCTGGGTTCAGATCGGTGGCCAACCTGAAGGAGAAGTTGAAATGTTCGGAGATTTCGCAACTACCTCCATCTAGCTTAGTTCCCGACCTCACCATCTCCAGGCGGGTGCCGTCGATTGCGGTCTTGGAAGTCCAGCCACCCTTCCCCTGCACGGGCGGAACTGTGATGTCGCACTCGATCATGCCCTCCTTGATGATCGCGAGCAGCTTTTTCACGACATGGTCCGCTGCGGTCTTGGCGTTCATCTTCTTGGTGCTGTAGCCCACGAGCATCCAAACCCACGAGATGTGCTGGCAGGGGTTCTTCGACGTATCTGGCGGCAGCATGCCGGACGTGGCTTCGAGGACGCTGTGCTTCGCGGGCACAGGGGGCAGCGAGAACTGCTCCATAGCACGCGGAGTGAACGCGTTGAGTCCATGGAACTTGGCTGGGGCCCCGGCGGCCGCAGAGTTCCCATCAGCCACCACGGCGCGAAACGCGCGGTACTCCTCTCCGTCGGGGCCATCGAGAACTACGTTGTCCACTGTGATCTCCATCGTGTGCAGGTTGGCCTGCTGCTTATTCTGCGCTGGCTTCAGCGGTTGGGCTAGAGCAGCCAGCGCCATGCGTGCAGGAGTACCCTTTCCCTTGGGAGGCATGGGACTCACCGTGAGAGAGACAGCTCAATGCTCGACGACGTGCGCGAACGCACGCTTGAGCCAGAAAACTTGAGGTAGGGGAAAGCAGGGGCATAGGAAAGCAGGATACGGGAGCGGACAAAGAGGAGAAGGAGGAGGAGAAGGAGGAGAATGGAAACGGGGTCGCATCGGAGGGCGATTGCAGTGAAACTAGCAGGGAAAACTAATAGAGAGGAGAAGGGGGAGGCAGGGCGAAGATAACGTGGAGAGGGAAACCTCAAGGGAAACTGCGCATCGATTCCTGGTTCCCGGGGGCGCTGGAGGGAAGGAGTACGCGGTGAACGAGGAGAAGAAGAGCAGTGCGAGGACGGTGATGAGGATGAGGAGGAGGAGGATTAAAAGAGGGGGGCGAGAGGAAGACAGGGAGGAGGCGCGGGAGGGTGATGAGACAGTAGGAGGTGGAGGGGAATGATGACGAAGAGGTAGAGGCCCGAAGGGGCACTGAGCATCAGATGTTGGTTCCTGGTCTGAGCATCAGATTTTGGTTCCTGGGGTGCCGCGTCGGGACCTCTGGGATTCCGTCGGCCCCCCTGGTTGAAAGGCAATCGTACAGACGCTGGCAGGGAGAAAGAAGAGAAAGGAGAGAAGGAGGAAAGGGAGGATAAGCAGGAGACGGAACGTCAAGGGAAACCGCGCATCAAATCCTGGTTCCCGGGGGCGCTGGAGGGAAGGATAACGCGGTGAACGCTGAAGCCGACGAGAAGCAGAAGGAGGAGGATAACGATATTTAGAAGAGGGGGTGGCAGAGAAGGGAATATGATGAAGCGGAGGAGGATGATCAGACAGCAGGAGGTGGAGGAGAAAGAGGGGGATAACGTAGAAGCAGCCAAGGAAATTGAGCATCAGATTTTGGTTCCTGGGGTCTCTGGAAGGAACATAGAAGAAGGCGGGGTAGGAAGAGGGGGGCGACGAACGAAAAGAAGGCGAAGAGGGCGATGAGGGGGAGGGAGGGGATGAGGGAGGATAGTCACGAGGAGGGTGAAAGAAGGAGGTGAGGACGACGAGAAGTGGGCCGTCGGACGTCTGAGAAGGGGAGGGAGCGAATGACGTGAGAAAGGCTTTGGTGACCCTGTGGGGTGTCCTTCGTGGGGCTTTTTTGGAGCGTCTGGGATGGTCTTCGGGGCGCTCGGAAAGCCTTTGGGGGCCGTCTGCGGTCCTGTTGAGTCTTGTGGTGTCTTTCTGGCGCCCTCTTGGCACCCTGTTGGGGCCTTGGTGGGGTCTGCGGATCCATCCTGGCGCTCTGGGGGCCGCGCGGGCACTCTCATGGGCTCACTTGGGACCGTGGTGGGCCGATCTGGAAACGTCGCAAAAGCGTTTAGAGAGTTCCGGTGAGCGTAGCTGTCTGAAGGGAAGCTGCGCGTCAAATTCGGGATCCCGGGAGATTTGCCTTCCGAGGACACGCGCGCACGTGTGCACGTGCACGCGTGCCGGCGAACATGCGCAGGCTCGAGCTACAACGAGAGCGAGCTTTTCCCAAGCGTGAGCTGTGAACGGACGTCCGCCACGCGCCGCGTCGCAAGCGGGGCGCGCAAACTGAAACGGGGCACTAATCAGAAGCAGCAGCGCGTGATGATGCTGACGCTGGCCGCTTGCGGCACGCGGGTGCAGGGCGCTGCGGGGAATCCTTTGGGAGCAACAATTCCTTCCAAACAATACTCTTGGTCAGTGCGCTGCCGTTTACGTTGCATCGATCGAGACTGGTGAGGACGCGCAGGGATCCCCTAGTGTGCACGCGGCTCAGAACGACATAGAGGTGCCCATGGCTGAAAGGGCTCGATCTGGAATCTAAGACACACTTCAGGAGGGTGCAGCCTTGCGCGCCGTTGAAGGTGACAGCATAAGCGGGGCGCAATGGATACTGGCGTCTGATCACGTTGCTAGTACCTCGCGCCAACGGCCACCTGAAACATATGCGCGGGAGCGGGAAGTGTCTCCCATCTAATGTCTCTATGACGACATGGTTGTCGTGCACGGCGCGCACTATGACGTGAGCATGGTTCATGAGCCTGTCGGACATGCTGAAGTTGCGGGCCAATTGGTACAGAGCGCCCACCACCAATCGTAAGTCATGTGGCGGGACGCCGTTCTCGTTCTGGAGGTTAAGAAACTCTGTCCGCGCTCGCCTTGCGGCACTGGGGCAAAAGGTAGACTTGAGTGAGCTTGTCGAGGACCATGTGGTTGAACTTGTCGACAGCGGCATTAGTCGGGCAAAGGATTTCTGCCGAGGCGCAACTGGAAGGGTCATTCGGGGCGTCGAAGCAGAAGTCGACGCACGCCTCCTCGGAGTGCAAAGACGCGCAGCGGTCCAGCAGGACGTAGCCGGGCTCATCGGAGAGATGATGTGTCGACGGGGCTGTGCCGTCGCCGATGCTTGCAACCCAGGTAGAGTAGTCGACGTCGCGGTGTTGTCGGTGGTTCACCTGCAAAGCGTAAGTAGTGAAAAGCTCCCATGTAGCAGATTGCCGAACACTGTTGTTGACGATAGAGTCCCGCGTGCCTCCTTTCACGACAGGAGGAATCTGGCGGAAGTCCCCATAGCAGACGAAAACCTTGTTCTTCCAGATGGTAGTGTGGTGCTGTTGGATCTGGTCCAATAGTTTGAGGACGCTCTCCCATGCAGGTCGTTTAGAATTTGGCCATTCATCCCATTGGAGCACAGGCGCCGCGGCGAGGGCACGGGCACCTTGGGAGCTCATCGGCAGAGAGCAAGTGAGGACGTCCTCGTCAGATACCGGAATCTTGCAGACAGAGTGCGCCGTGGCGCCGAAGGGCAATTGCAGGGCCGCGACTCCTGTCGTGGCCATGTTGATGACTCCCTGTCCACTCCCCAAAGCAGCGTAAGTGATGTAACTGGCGACGGTGGATTTGCCGCTGCCAGCGGGGCCGTGGACGAAATAATACTTCTCGGCCCCGGCGCGGATAGACGCGATAATCGCTTTGACGGCGTCGGTCTGACTCGGATCCTTTGCAAGGGTCTTGTAGATGGTCTTCGCGCGGGATAGCGCTTCTTGCGGGGGAAATGGCGCCGCGGGGGTGTCTGATGCCGGGGATGGTTGAGACCGTGCAGGTTTGTCTTCTTCCAGCGTGAACGATTTGCCAATGGACTGGCACGAGAGGCGCAAAGCGTCGCATGCAGCTTTGCGGGCAGAATCGAGAGTGAGCCCGCGATCGCGGAAATCACCGAGGAGATGCTTCTCGAACTTGTTGCACAGCGTCACGGCGCACGCGTCCTGCTCGAGCAACGCTACGAAGGCGAACCGTAGTTGAGCGGCAGTGTATCGAAGCTCGACTAACTCCTGGAGCACCCGCATAGGTTCGTCAGCTGTCGCAAAATACCCGGTCGCCACCAGTGCTTGCTCATAAGTGGGGTACATCCGGCCACCGTGGGTTTTGCAGTCGGCGAAGCTTGGTTTTGGGTAGTTCAACGATATGTGTCTGTGGTAGAACACCTCTCTCTGTTTGGGGTACTTCATTTCGAGCCTGCATATTGGACGTTCGCCCCGTTGCTTCTCGTAGACGAAGTGGGTCCGACCTGGGGGGGGCAGCGTCGAACACGGGCGCCAGGGCCCCGTCCGGCGGGGGAGTCGCCGAAGACGCCGCAGCCCGTGGGGAGAGGTCGGGAAAGTGGTGCTGCAAGGCTTGCGGGCAAGATTTGGCCACCATGAAGCGCTTGAAATATTCGTAGTACTTCGTTGAGAGGTACGGCTCGAACTTGGGCCGGTGGAAGTGGCGTTGCAAAAGCGAAATAGAAGATTGTACGGCGTCCTCTTCTTGTCCGGCGGTATAGGTGATCCAATCTTCGCCTTCGCAATGCACTGGTAGACAAACCACATGAGGGATGCGTTCATACGTAGTGTAGCCAAACATGCGCCACGCGCATTCCGTGGCACAAAGATAACGGCCACGCTGCCATTCTTTGATTTCGTCTTTGTTGCCAGTGTCCTCCTGGAGCTCGTATTTAACAAGGTCTGGTCATTTGAACAGGTATGTGTACAGGTATTGGAACAGGTTGACGGACCCTGCGAATTTGACATTGGCGTGTCCGTCCCACAGCAGGAGGATGGTGGGGTTGTATTCCACGATCAGCCGGTTGCAGCAATCAGATCGTTTGCCGTGAGATGCGGTCCCAGACGCGCAATTGGGGCAGTCACCGCCACAATGTCTGCGACGGTGATGTGGGCACCCTCGCTCGTCAAAGTACGTGTCGTCTTGGAAAGGCCACGGGCGCCCTTTGATGCACTCCTGAGATGTGTCGTCGGGGTGGCACGAATGGTTGCACGAGTGTATCATGTGTTGAAGGACGAGTGCGCGGACAGGACCGTCTGGTGGAAGTTCGCGCGAGACGAAGGTGTCGACGGCTTCGGGCGTAGTTGGCGGCGTTGTCAGGGCTATGGCAATGTGAGCATGGGGCAGCCCTCTGCGCTGATATTCAATAACCCTGATGACGTACCTGCGGTCTCCACAGAACTCACGCTTGAGGTGCGCCATCATCTTCTCCAATCGAGCGTGGAATACGCGGACCACGATGTCTGGTCGGTCTGCTGCTGTCTGGCCCGGATGAAGAGTGGCAGTGATCTCGGGCCAGCATGGGTTGCACGTCAACGCGATGAAGAAGGTTGGCGGGCCTTTTCGCCGAGCAAGCTCCAGGAAGTCCATTCGGAGCTTGCGTAGGTGGCGGGAAGACCCGGGCACGCTCGAAGGCAAATATGTACTCGTGCCGGGGACGGGCGTGTCATTGGCGAGGGCCTCGCACATGTCTGCTCGTTTGGAAGTTCGTTGAGCCTGTGCTCTGCGAAGAAGTCCGAGCCTCTCATCCTCCATCCTGCAGTGCATGTTCACGAGCCACTCGTTCAAGAGCCGTCCACATAAATGCATGCGTGGGCTTCGTAGGAGGTGTTGGCGGTACCGCCGCATCTGTGTGAGGCGCT